AATTCATTCATCAGAATTTCTTTGAACTTGATTATATCTTCTGGACAACTTCCTGTTAGCAATATGTCATCAACATATAGACACACCAGAATCATATTGCCACCAGAATGCTGCACATACACGCCATATTCCATCTCACATTTCTGATACTTCTGCCTCTTGAAAAACGAATCAATTTTCAGATTCCAAGCTCTGGGCGCTTGTTTCAATCCATACAAGGCTTTATGTAACTTGTATACCATGCCTTCTTGGTTCTTTTTCACAAATCCAGGAGGTTGTGATACATATACCTCTTCTTGTAATGGATTATTCAAAACTGCAGACTTCACATCCAAATGTATCAAAGGCCAATTTCTGTTTGCAGCTAAAGCAATCATCAATCTGATTGTTTCATGTCTAGCTACAGGCGCAAACACCTCAAAGTAATCTAGACCAGGTTTCTGAAGAAAGCCTCTAGCCACCAGTCTCGCTTTGTGTTTTCCAATTGATCCATCTGGCTTAAGCTTCACCTTGAAAACCCATCTGAAACTGATGGCTTTCTTCTTTTCTGGAAGCTTTGTCAACTTCCAAGTTTTGTTTCTTTCAATAGCCTAAAGTTCTTCCTTCATGGCATTCAACCATACTTTCTTCTTGAGAGCTTTTTCAATACCCGCTGGTTCAAAATGTACTAACATGGCACACTGAATGACTTCCCCTTCAGAATCTACTTCAATGTCATGCAACATGTTAAAATATGCAAACCTACTTGGTATTTGTCTGATTCTTTGTGGCCTCTGAACTTGTTCTGAAGCTTCTCCAGAACTTGGAACAATGCTAGCTTCTGGACCTTGTCCAGAACTACTTCCTTCAAAATTACCACCTTCAGAGCTACTTTTGGAAGCTTGTCCTCCAGACCCTATGTCTTCAGAGTTTTCCCTTCCAGAAATATAATCACCACTAGATTCTAGATCATCATCAGAATTTGGATCAGAATCAGATCCACTATCAGAATCTCCCTGAGAATCAGACTCATCTTCAAAGTCTTCAGAATCAGACTCATCTTCTGACTCTGACTTGTCTTCAGGACTTTCTGAAGAATCTTCAGAAACTAACTTATGTGTTGGCGATACACCAGAATCTGATTGAGACTTGTTTCAATCCCATGTTTCCGACTCTTTCACAATAATGTCTCTGCTGATTTCAATTTTGTTAGTTATGAACAATAAAGCTTATAAGCACCTATAATGTGGTACCCCACCAGTAACATTACTTTGCTTCTATCATCCAGTTTCTGTCTTCTAGCTTCTGGAACGTGTTTGTAACATACAGACCAAACACCCTTAGATGGCTAACACTTCGCTTATCTCCAGTCCACTTTTCTAAAGGAACAATTTCCTTCAGCTTCTTCGTTGGACACCTATTCAGAACATATGCTGATGTGGCAACAACTTCTCCCTATAACATGTGTGGTAGCTTCTTCTCTTTCAGCATACTTATGGACATATCAAGCAAAGTTTTGTTTCTTCTTTCAGCAAGACCATTGTGCTGAGGAGTATATAGAGCAGTAACCTCATGTTTTATTCCATTCTCCTCACAGAACTTCTGAAACTCTGTAGAGTTATACTCACCTCCATCATTCGTTCTTATAATCTTCAACTTCTGACCACTCTGCTTCTTAGCCTTCACCTTGAACTTCTGAAACTCTGTAAACACTTCATGCTTGAACTTGATGAGTGTTACCCATGTCATTCTTGTGAACCCATCCACTAGAGACACAAAATATTTGTTTCCTCCAAGTGAAGATACTGGAAATGGTCCACACACATCAGAATATACTACTCCCAAAGCATGCTTCGCTCTGGGGGCTACTTCTGATGTGAATGGCAATCTGGGTTGCTTGACTTTCATGTATATCTCACATGACTTCTCAAGCTTCACAATCTTCAAAATGCCATGTACAAGCTTCTTAGAACTTAGATGCCCTAAGCTTATATAGTTCAAGTGCCCCAACCTCTTGTGCCACATTTTACTGTAACCTTCAGCTCCTTCTGCACTAAGACACTCTGCTTCAGCTGTTTCTACATTCACCTTGAATGTTTTGTTGCTTTCCTGCTCAAAATTCATAATTAACTTCTGATTGGAATCATATAACATCAAGAGGTTATCCTTCATAACAACTGAGAAACCTTTCTCAATGAGTTGACCCACACTCATCAGATTGCTTTTAATTCCAGGAACATACCAAACATCTTTGATCAGAATGTTTTTTCCATTCTTCACTCTGACTCTGACATTTTCCATACCTTATGCGTTAAGATACTTATCATCAGCACATCTGATCTTTGTTCTCCTTCTGGAGTCAAAGTCTATCAGCCATTGTTTGTTCCTAGTAAAGTGGTTTGAACAACCAGTGTCCATATACCACCAATCTTTTGAACACTTTCCATTAGAATCAGAAGCCATCAGTAGCACAGGTTCATCATCAGAATCTGCACTGGCTATATTTGCTTCTTCTAATTTCCTTCCTTTGTTTCTACAATCTCTGGCAAAATGGCAAAACTGTTTACAACAGTAACACTGAACCTTCTTCTTGTCATACCTTTCCTTTCTCTTCTGATATTTCTTTTCACCATAAGTTGAGGTTTCTGACTTCTGGAATTTATCACCACGTCTATTCTGCTTCTGGTCCTTCTTGACAAAAGAAGTATTCAGAGCTTGCTCAACTTCCCTCTCAGAAGTTCTTTCAGTCAGACGCAACTCCTGCGCTTCTAGACTACTTTGCAACTCTTCTATTCTCATGGTTTCCAGATTTTTAGAATGTTCAATAGAAACAACAATATAATCAAACTGAGGAGTAAGCGACCTCAGAATCTTCTCTATGATTACCTGTTCAGAAAGTGTTTCTCCATAAGCTTTCATCTCATTAGTGATCATAATCATTCTGGAGATGTACTCAGAAACTTTCTCACTGTTCTTCATGTTGAGATTCTCATATTGCTTTCGCAGGGACTGAAGCTTCACCTTCTTCACTGACACGTCACCACCGTAACATCTGACCAGTATATCTCATGCCTCTTTCGACGTCGTCAAATCAGCAATCTTCTCAAACACACTTTCATCTACACACTGATGGATATAGAATAGAGCTTTCTGATCCTTCTTCCTCGTAGCTCTTTCTGCAGATCTATGTTCTTCAGTAGCATCTGCTGCAACTGGAACATAACCATCGGTAACAATATCCTGAACATCTTGAGCACCAAACAACACACGCATCTGTATCATCCATCTGTTCCAGCTTTTGCCATCAAAAACTGGAAGTTTAGTGTTCAAACTACTGCCTCCACTCATCTTAAACCTTGCACAAATCTCAGATCTCACTCAGTGTTTCCCAGACCCACAGAACCAGTATGATTCTGTTCAGATTTTTGTTCAAGATTCAACAGAAATCAAGAACCAAAATCAAACACACAACTCACTTTCACTTGTGTTTCCCAGAAATTCAGAACAACCAGGAGCTCTGATATCAATTGTTGGTGTAAGGTGATGAAATTGAAGAAGAAGAGAGGAAATATAAAATGATAAAGACGACTGCTAATGATTGGTAAATGAATAATAATAATCAATTAATGAGACCTAGATACACCTATTTATACACAAAGATAACAAAGATAAAAATGCCACATAAACCCTAAAACAGGATAAACTTTAATAACAAAAATTTTCTCCAAATATATCAAATATTAAATTACTCTTTAATAACTACCACTTCGAATGTTTATGCATAAAAGAATAAATATAGATAGATAAATTGGTCCTCAGATGCAATAAGAAACATTGCCCCAATTGCTTCTTGCCTAATAAGCCAATTTAAATTTCATACATAACAACGAACTATTGAAGCAGTGATCTGATCAAGGATAACCCATACGGAGTATTATATTAAAATTGAAACGGGTACTCTCTCTGTTCTTTCTTTAATTATCATTTTTTTGAAAAAATTTATTTCTTTTTAATTTTCATTTTTAAATTTTAAAGTAGTAATAATTATAATTGTGTTAAAATTATCCTAATGCTTATAGTAGAGAAAGAAAAAAATATATTAGAATAATGAATCATTAAAATTATTATAGGTAAAATAAAAATTATTACATGAAAAGTAATAATAATTATTAGATTTTATTTTACGTATAAAAAATTAAAAATAATAATTATAAAGGAACGGAAAAGTATTTTAATAATAATTATAAAGGAACGGAAAAGTATTTTTCTCAAACAATCTTTTTTGTACACTCTCTGTTTTTTTTTTAATGTCACTTTTGTAAAAATTATATTTCTTTTCAATTGTTTTTTTCAAATTTTAAAATAGTATTAATAATAGTGTTGTTAAAATTATTTCTAATCATTTATTATAGAAAAAAAAATAAAAATAATAAAAGTTAAGAATATTATTGATACACGATTTTTTTTAAAAGTAATAATAATTATTAACTTTATTAATATGTATAAAATGTCAAAAATAATAATTAAAAATGAACAGAGAAAGTATAAACATGTCTCTTTTTTATACATTTTGTAAATATATTTTTGATAGATATTATGACAAATCATTAAAATGCTAGATCTAACAATGGCGATAGATTAATGTATAATTTTATAAAATATGATAATTATATAATTTTTTTATATATTTACAAATCACTTTTATTTTAATTTCTTAAATAATATATATTTATTATATTTTTATCAAAAAACTAATAAGAATTAGATCTGAAAAATTGTACATAATTTTTTTTTTTAAATGTCAAATAAGTATAATAGTTTTATACAGTGTATATTAATTATAATTATAATTATTTAATAAATTTAAAAAATAATTTATTAAAAAAATAGGACGAAATATTTAATTCAGATTAACCTATTTTATTTGCAATCTCTCCCCTTAAAACTCTCTCTATCAAACCATTTTCATTTCAATAAGAAGAAAAAAAACTCTGAATCATCCTTATCGTGCAAAATTCAATATGGATGACTCCACGCAGCCCCTTCTCACAACCAAAGCAAAAGACAAACACCATGAAACCAAGACACCGCCATCCACCACCGCGGTGTTTACCGCCGCAGCTCCTGACATGGATCCAATCACTAGTCCAAAAGAATTTCTCAAACAGTTCGTGTTCGAGTCAAAGATGCTCTGGTACCTCGCTGGACCAGCCATCTTCTCGTTTGTCTCGAAATACTCACTTGGTGCCGTTACTCAAATATTTGCTGGCCATTTTAGTACCATCGATCTCGCCGCCGTGTCGGTGGAAAACTCCCTCATCGCTGGCTTTTCCTTCGGCTTGATGGTAAAGTATTCAACTCTCTTACAATTTACACTCTAATTGGTTGGTCATGCAAAAATAACATTTCGTGGTTTTAAAATTTTTTTTAATTCTTTTTTTGGTTTGTTTTGAATTTACACTCTGATGTTATTTTCTTTTAAATCGAGTATTTTCTCCGTGTGACTGTTGAGAGATTAATTTTTTAAAATTGATAGAATTATTTAATACTGTTACGTGTTTAGTATCATGATCGAATTTAAAATCTTTAGTTAAATTAAAAGAGATCTTTTATTATTTTATTAACTTTTTTAACTTAAATACATAATAATGTTAAATACATAATAATGTTAAATTCTTTTAAGAGTGAATTTTATTAATTAGTATAATTTTATTTAGTTTGAGAGATTAATTTATATAATAGCGCATATAAAATATTCGGTTTCTTTTAATAATATGTTATTTTAACATTTTGTAAATATTCATAAAATTAATCTGTTTAATACGATTTTTTTTTTATTTGATGATTGGGTTAATAAAATTTTAGAGTTAATAATTATTAAATATAATACTTCATTTCAAAATTATTTCTTTTATCTTTATAAATAAATCTCAAGACAATCGCATTTTTTAATAGCAAATGATATCATAAATAAGAGATGAAAAGCCATCAGAGTATAAAAGGTAAGATATCATATAGCATAAGATTTTTCATATTTATCACGAAAAGAAAAAAACAACAACAAAAAAACAACAACAAAAAAACAACAAGTAAAACAAAAATAATAAATAACCTAAGACAAATGTGGGAAATAATCTGCACTAGTTATTAATAAATCCCACCAATAAAAATAATCATCATTTACATTGCTCTTTTTTTCAATTTGATTAGTACACTTTTCCAGATCCATATAAACATCATCATATTCCATGATCGTGTTTTGTTCTATATTAATTGCAATATACTAGATCTAGCAAAATATACCAAATATGATAGTGTATTGAATCAATACATAAAATTATTCCATCCATTTTATAATAAGTGTTAGTTTTGTAATATTTTTTATTTTTAATTATTTCTTATATAATATAATACAATATTTATTGTGTTTTTTATATTTATTTTATTTATTATATCTCAACTAATCTAATTATTTATTAACTATTACGAATAAAAAAATAGTTTCTTTGATTTTTTTTATAGGAGATATCTCACATTTTTAGATTTATTAAAAAATTAATATATCTAGTCGTATTAAAAATTAAATATATTAATTATAAAGTTGAAGCTGATTTCCTGTTTTAAATTTGAATTTGATCAGCTTGGAATGGGAAGCGCACTGGAAACTCTATGTGGACAAGCAGTAGGAGCAGGAAAAGTGGACATGTTAGGAATATACATGCAAAGATCATGGGTCATACTATTTTCCATGACATTTCCACTATGCTTCATATACATCTTCGCAGGAACCATTCTAAAACTAATAGGACAAACAACTCAAATCTCCGAGGCTGCCGGAACATTTGCTTTATGGATGATACCGCAATTATTTGCTTACGCGTTGAATTTTCCGGTGGCGAAATTCCTACAAGCGCAAAGTAAGGTGATTGTGATTGCGGTTATATCGGGGGTTGCTATGGTGTTGCATCCGGTGTTTAGTTGGTTGTTGATGGTGAAGTTTGGGTGGGGATTGGTGGGTGCGGCGGTGGTTCTTAATGGATCTTGGTGGTTTATTGTGGTGGCTCAGTTAGGGTATGTGTTTAGTGGAAAATGTGGAGTGGCTTGGAATGGCTTTTCTTTTGAAGCGTTTAGGAATCTTTGGGGATTCTTTCGCCTTTCTATGGCTTCTGCTGTGATGCTCTGGTGAGTTAACTTAATTAAATTATATTTTCAATTTATACTTTTTCAAAATATTCTTTTCTAGTTTTTTATCATAAAAATATATAATACTATAAAAATAATTTTTAAAAAACTAAAACAAATATATCCATGTTTGTATAGAAACATAAAGGCTAAACTACACCCGCTTTTTTACTTCATTCAATTCAATTAGCGATTAATCACGTTCTTCATTGAAATGGTTAGTGGATGAGAAAAAAAACTAATTTCCAACTTTTTCTTTGCTTGAATAAATAATGTATTATAATAATAAGAGTTATAATAATACGAATTAGGATTGACTTAGCGCAATCAGAGATCTGGACGAGAATTGCAATTTCATTTGCTTAAATAAACAATGTATTAGTATAATAAGAGTTAGTGTATGACAAGAATTAGGTTTGATTTGGTGCATTCACAGATCTCAAAATGTTTGTGATTTGGACAGGAACTTAAAGAAAGATGTATTGAAATTGTAAAAAAATTTACATTATCATTCAATAAAAATATATTATTTTATCATTTCTTTTATAAATTATAATCTATTTCTTTTATAAATTATAATCTAATTTGATGGAATTCATAATCATGATTAATTAATAATGTAAAATTATTTTAAAATTAAAGCCTAAAATTATAAAAGCTCAAAATACCTATTTTGAAACTAAATTAATTCTATCTATTTTAGACCTAAATCAAATCTATTTATTTTAGATCTAAAACAAATTTGTGTGTAACAAACTCTTTCCACACTTCTAAATCAACTCAAATATTTTCGACAGTTCCTTGTCTCTGTCGAGCAAACTGCTTCGACACAAAGAATTACTTTCAACACACTACCTAATTCACTGTGTCTAAGCTATCTACATTCATCATAACTCTTAGTCTTTGAAATACTTCGACTTGCACTCCCTTCGTCATGATGTCTGCAATCTGATTCTCAGCTCTACAGTGTTCCAAGTTCATCTTCATTTCTGCTACATGCTCTCGAAGATAGTGGAACCTCGTTTCAATGTGCTTGCTTCGACCGTGAGCTATCAGGTTATTCGCCAGATTGATAGGTGACATGTTGTCGATCTTCATGGTAATTGCTCTATGATCTTCACATGTAATTTCTTCGTCACCATCCAAGTTGCTTGACATGCACAAAGAGAAGCAATTATGCACTCTGCTTCGCATGATGATAATGCCACTACTGGTTCCTTTCTCGAACTTCAAGCAACTGGTGCACCACCTAGCATAAACGCATAATCTGGTGTGGATTTTCGATCCTCAACATCATTGCACCAACTCGAATCAGTGTATCTCACTAACTTGCACTCTTTTCCTTTATCAGCTGCAGGAAACAAAATGCCATAGTCAATAGTTTCTTTTAGATACCTTAGTGTCTTCTTCCCTGCTGCTAGATGTGGTACCTTTGGGTTTTGCATGAATCTACTTATCATACCTACATTGTATACTAAGTCAGGCCTTGTGTGACCAAGGTATCTTAGTGACTCAATAAGTCTTCTATATTGGGTTGGATCAACATCATCTTCATTTGCATCTTTCGACAGTTACAACTTTGGTTCAGCAGGTGTCAAAGTTGAGTTGCAATCTTCCATCTCAAATCTCTTGAGAATTTCACTTGCATATCTTCTTTCATGCATCATCAAACCTCTATTGCTATTGTAGAATTTAATGCCAAGAAAATACGAAATATCACCCAGATCAGACATTTCGAATTTCTTGCTGAGATCACCTTTGAAGTATTCGATCTCCTTCTTGCAACTACCTATTATTAACAAGTCATTGACATAGAGACATATAATAAGCAATTTACTATTGCTTCTTCTTACATATACTCCATGTTCAGTTGTGCACTTCACAAATTCCTTCTCCCTTAGAAAACTATCAATTTTCTTATTCCAAGCTCTTGGAGCTTGTTTCAAACCATACAGGACTTTATGCAGCATGTACATCTTTCTCTCTTCATCATGTTTCACAAATCCAACTGGTTGTTTAACATAAACTTCTTCGTCTAAGGTTCCATTCAGGAATGCATACTTCACGTCCATCTGACATATGTATCAACTGTTTATTTCTACTAGACCAACAACTAACTTTATTGTTTAGATTCTAACCACAGGTGCAAAAACTTCATTGAAGTCTATTCCTTATTTATGGAGAAATCTTTTCGCCACAAGCCTTGCTTTGTGTCGAGTTACTTATCCTTTGGGATTCATCTTCACTTTGTATACCCATTTGACATCAATTGTCTTCTTGCCTTGAGGCAATTCTACAAGTGACCAAGTGTTGTTGTCTTCAATGGATTTCACCTATTCGCTCATTACATTCACCCACTTCGAATCTTTTAATGCTTCACCTGCATTGACTGGTTCAACATCTGCATAAAAAGCATAATGTACCAGCTCACCTTCGTTATCAACCACATGATCTGATGTAATCACACATTCTTGTAACCTTGCAGGCATGCGTCTTGTTCTTTGAGATCTGCTTGTACTTGGTTGATCTATAACCTCCTCTTGTCTAACTTTATCTTGTCGAACTTCTTTTTTGAATTGAGTTTCTAGTTCTTCAAGTAAGATTCTCACTGAATCTTTCCCGATGTTTTCAGTCCAACCCCATTCTTTAAGATCATCTATGATAACGTTCCTATTGATTACAATCTGCTTATTCACTGGGTCAAACAACTTGTAACCTTTTGTCGAATGATATCCTACTAGAATCATTTGACTGGACTTGTCATCAAGTTTTTTTCTCAACTTATCTGGCACAATGTCTATGTGCTATAGATTTAAATACCTTCAGATGACTCAAGCTAGGCTTCACATCAGACCAACATTCTTCTGGAGTAATTCCTTCTAGCTTCTTCGTCGGACATCTGTTCAATATGTATGTTGCAATTGACACAACTTCACCCCAAAACTCTTTAGGTAAATTCTTGCCTTTCAACATACTTCTCACTATATTCATGATGGTTCGATTCTTCCTTTCTGCAGTTCCATTCTGCTGTAGAGTGTAGGGTGACACCACCCCATACATAATCCCTCCCTTTTCACATAACATGTCGAACTCTTTCGAATCATACTCTCCACCACCATCAGTTCTGAAAACTTTGAGTTTTCGATCACTCTGCCTTTCGACCATAGATTTAAACTTGATAAATACCTCAATCACTTCACTTTTCTTCTTGATCATGCAAGTCCAAAGTTTTCGACTGAAATCATCTATGAATATGACAAAGTATTTGTTACCTCCACTCGAATCCACATGAATTGGTCCACATACATCAGAGTATATGACTTCAAGAATAGTCTTTGACTTGCTTCCTGCATCCTTGCTGAAACTATTCTTATGTTGCTTCGCCTACACATATTCCACACACACCTTATTTGGAATGTCAATTTCTGGAAATCCATAAACCATATTTTTTCTCTTCAAATCTCTGATGTCTCTGAATTTTAGATGACCTAATCGATAGTTCCATATTCATTCATCTCTGCTAGCTGAAGTCGAAAGGCACTTCTGCTCCATCAGATTGAGTTCAATCTTGAAAGTCTTATTCTGAGACATGGGAGCCTTCAAGATTAATCTTCCATTTGTGTCGACGACTCTCATCATCTTGTCTTCGACCGTTACTTTGTAATTCTTTTCGACCAACTGCCCTATGCTGAGAAAGTTTCTCTTCATGCCTAGAATATACAACACATTCGAAATTACTGACCTTTTTCCATCTTTCGCATAATCATAACATCTCCTATACATTCAGTTGCTAGAGTCTTGTCATTTGCAAATTTCACCATGTTCTTCATGGAGGGTTTTATATTGACAAACCAATCTTTCCTTCCAGACATGTGTGATGAACATCTTGAATCCAAGTACCACTGATCCTTGGTTTTTTCTTCATCTTTTGTTGTGACCATCAGTAACATGTCTTCTTCTTCATGCTTTGCGAACTTTACATCACTTTCTTGATTCTTTCGCTTTTCTGGACAATCACTAAAATAGTGACCATACTTCTGACAATTGTAACACTGAATGTAACTCTTATCAGGTTTTAGACCATCACGTCTTCCTCTATTTGCAACACCACCTTTTTAGTTTCCTTGGTATGGTCTTCTCTGGTTCAACACGTTTTCTTCGTGTTGATTTCTTCTACCAGTCGAATTGTTGTAGCCACATGTACCTTTGTTTTCAAACCACTTTCTTTTGCCTTTCTTATCTCTTGCTTATTGAGCCTGCAAAGCCACACCACCCTTCAACTTGCCTGCAGCTCTTCCAGCTATTCTTTGTTCATGAGATTCAAGCGTCCCTTAAAGCTCTTCCTTCGACAAAGATGACATGTCCTTCGATTCTTCTATGGCAACTACCACATGATCGAAGTTCAGAGCCAAAGATCACAACATGTTCAAAACAACAACTCTTGTTGTTAACGTCTCTCCACAAACCTTGATTTGATTCACTAGTTTCGTAACCCTAGTGAAGAAATCTTATATGCTCTCATTGTCTTCCATCTGAAGCAATTCATACGTTTTTTTTGTGAGTTTGTAACCTCACCTCTTTCACCTTCAAAGCGCCTCCAAACGATTTCTTGAGAATCTCCCAAGTTTCTTTTGTAGATTCCTCATCACTAACCTTTTCGAAATTGTCTGAGTTGATACATTGGTGAATTATAAAGAGAGCTTTATAATTCTTCTTCTTCGCTTTTCTGTATTCAGCTTCTTCTTCTTCTGAAGCGTCTTCATCAAACGGTTTAAATCCATGTCTCACAAGATCGCAAAGACCTTGAAAACAAAATATAACATTCATTTGTTTGCACCAATTCTCATAGTTAATTCCTTTAAGAATTGGGAGACTTGCTGGAAAATTTCCATTAGCGTAACTCATCGCCATCGTGATCTTGTTATTCTTCTTCCTCGATCGTTCTTCCCGTGAATCACTCAACCATAGCTCTTGATACCAGATATTGGAAATCCACCAAAATCTATGATGAATTTCTACCAATCTTGATGAATAAGATTGATATCACCACACAATGACAATGAAAAATATGAAAGAAAGAAAGAAAAAAAGACAATTATTTTCTTCAGAATTTCTCTCTGCCAACAAACTGTAGAAAACTTCTTATTCACTTGCACCTGCAAATTATGTGAATACAACTTAATTGACTTAATTACAAAAATAGGGTTACTCAATCTATTTATAGATTTAACTTAACTGACTCCCTAAAGCGAAAAACTATAAAAGTACAAAATACTTATTTTGAAATTAAATCAAATCTATCTATTTTAGACCTAAATCAAATATATCTATTTTAGATCTAAAACAAATCTGTATGTAACAAACTGTTTCTACACTTTTAAATCAAATCAAATCAAATCAAATCAAATCAAATCGCTTCGACACAAAGAATTACTTTCAACAATACACCGATTAAGAAAAATAATAATTAAATTAATAAAGATAATATTTTTACAAAATTATCCTTAATTACTATTAATTATTATATATTATTATAACTTGAAAATAGTGTAAACAAATGATAAAATTAATAAAAGTTAATCGAAAGACTATTATTTTGTTGATGACTCAAAAGATAATTATTTTGAGACCGAACGACTAATTTGGAAAATCTATAAAATGCAGTTTGGAAACGTGGTACTTTATGGCACTCATTTTATTTGCTGGATATCTCGAAAATGCAGAAGTCTCCGTTGACGCCTTCTCTATATGGTATGTACTTTGATAAATTGAATTATCTTGTTGGATATTTCATGCATTTCTATATTCGTTGTATTCATAATCATTGAATAGAGATAAGACGTTTCAAATTTGAACTAAATTTTATTATTTTTAAAAATAAGTAAAAAATACACAATTAAAAATCTAAATCGTATACATTGAAAATTTAGAATTAAATTAACACATTCATTTTCTTATTAATTTGCTTTGCAGTATGAATATACTAGGCTGGACCATCATGGTGTCTTTTGGGATGAACGTTGCCATAAGGTAACATTCATCACATAAAATAACATAACTATCATTCTTATTGACAAATAAAAAAATTATAAACCAGATTTAAATTCAATGAATTAAACTTTGCAGTGTGAGAATCTCAAATGAACTTGGAGCAACTCACCCAAGAACAGCAAGATTTTCGCTGGTGGTTGCCGTGATTACGTCAGTTTTCGTAGGACTCTTGTTGGCTCTTGTTTTGATCCTATCGCGAGATAAGTATCCTGCTTTTTTTACCAATGATACAGAAGTGGCGGATCTAGTTAGGGATCTAACGCCCTTATTAGCCTTATGCGTTGTCATTAATAATGTTCAACCCGTTCTTTCTGGTAATACAATTTCTTTTGTTATTTTTACTAAAATATTTCACGTTTTTAATATTTTACTACAAAATTAGAGAAAAATTTATCTTTTGTTTATAGTTTTTCTAAGTAATTTTTTTTTATGTAGGGGTAGCCATTGGGGCTGGATGGCAAACTGTTGTGGCATATGTGAACATTACTTGCTATTATTTATTTGGAATTCCAGTAGGTCTTATATTAGGTTACAAGATTAATTTAGGAGTCAAGGTAACTCATTACCACCTTACTTAATTTACAATTTAACTTACAAATTTAAATTTTACATTCATGTATTTGGTCTATATATATGGTTCAAGTACACTAGTTATTCTTATATCTATAAAATATTCAAGTATTTGGTCTATATATATATGGTTCAAGTACACTAGTTATTCTTATATCTATAAAATGAGAAAATTTTAAAAGGATGTTATAATACTTTTTGACTTTTAAAAATTTTATATAAGATAAAAATCAGCTAACCCCATAATAATTCAAAATTAGTTTAAGCATATGATTTATATGTTTCAGGGAATTTGGTGTGGAATGATGTCAGGAACTATACTGCAGACATGTGTTCTTTTAGTAATGATTTACAAAACTAATTGGAACACAGAGGTAAGAGATTAATTAATCAGTATATTCATTTTTATTCAATATTGAAATTCAAGTCAATTGTATTCTCCTAAATGCAGGCCTCCCTTGCTGAAGATAGGATAAGGAATTGGGGTGGGGGCCAAGAAGTGAGTGAAACCAACATCGAAAACATATAACACACATGAAAAAATTTATGACAAGGTTTTGATTACAAAAGTCTTTAACTTTCTTCCTTTCACCACCTACCTAAACATTAAGAAGTTTATATGGGATATGAATAGCAATTCAAATGTATCGTATAAGTTTCGGGGAGTAAATTGGAGGAAACAATTTAAAAAATAAGTATTTTTGGAAATGAATGACTTTCTATTTCGTGGGCGTAATCGATTATGCAAATAGACGTAATCGATTACGAAGGCAATTTTTTGTTTTTAGTAGACGTAATCGATTACGCTGTTTTGCATAATCGATTACGAGTCTGCGTTTGGGCTTTTTTGACTTATTTTTGAGTTTTTTTTGTTTCCCTACATGTTTGTAATGCCTTGTATATATGAATTCTCATGTGTAATGTGTTTAGTAATGTCATTTGTTATATTTTTCTTCTTAACCTCAATTACTCTTTCTCTCTTATTTTTTCATTTCATCTTCTCCGATTAGCCACTTTTCTCCATTGGTTCACCAACTTAGTTTGTCTATGTTCTAACATTTGGCTTCAAGAGCCTTGGTTCTGATCCATTAATCTGCTGCAAATGATGACTACAGTCTCTAATGATCGAGTCCCCACTAATCTTCCAACCCTCGATTCAAAGAACTATGATAAATGGTGCAAAAAATGAAAGTTTTGTTTGGGTATCAAGATGTCTTTGAAGTGGTTAACAATAGAGTTACTCCACTTGGGGAAGAAGCGACAGATACTCAGAAGGTTGCACACAAGAAAGAGAAGAAGAAAGATTACAAGACACTCTTCTTGATTCATTATTGTGTAAATGGTGACAACTTTGAAAAAGTTGGCGATTATAATTTGGCAAAGCAAGTATGAGAGATCTTGAAGAAAGCTTATGAGTGGGATGATAAAGAAAATGTGGTAAGGTTATAAACTCACAAGCGACAGTTCGAGTTCAAATTGAAGAAAAATGAGACAAACAACGACTACATAATGCACATCACGCATTTGGTGAATCAAATGAATTCTTGCAGAGAAACTGCTTCAGAGCAGAATGTTGTATCAAAGATCTTGTGTTCTATGACACAAAGATTTGGCAACATTGCAGTGACGATCGGTGAGTCGAAAGACCTTCCGAAATTGAGCAAGGAGGAGCTTCAAAGCTCTCTTGAGGCTCATGAACAAAGGATGTATGAAAGAGGAAATGACAAAACTAAAGCAGAGATTGCATTATAAGCACAACTCAACGAGAGGAGTAAAAGATCGAAAGGAAAATGACCTTTGAAAGGAAAGGAAATTTTCCATAATTTTGGTGGAAAAGATCCATAAAATTCGAAAGCTTCAATAAGAAAAATAGGTGAGAGCATATCCAAAGGTAATGGTCAAAGAAACTACACCAAGATTGACAAGAGTAATGTGAAGTGTTACAATTGCCATAAACTTTGTTACTTCGCAAGGGATTGCAATGCGAAATCAAGAGAAAATCAAAGTGACGAGACTAAGGTTGCTCTACACAAGATGGATGATGATAACACGCTTCTGGTCATGATCATAGAGGAGAATTATGACAGTAATAAGTTATTGGACAGCAGCAGTAGCAATTGCAAGTTGCTGGACAACAATTGTAGCAGTTCGAAAAATGTTGCAGAAACGCGTGCGGAGCAAAACATAATGGTAACAGTTTGAGATGGAGTCCAAGATAGTGATGAGAGGTACTTGGATTTTGGTTGTTCAACACATATGACGGGTAGAAAGGATTGGTTTATCGAAATCAATCAAGCTACGAAGAAAAAGGTGAAATTCGCGGACGATACCACTTTAACGGCCAAAGGGGTCGGTGATGTTTTGATCATGAGAAGGGATGTGGGTCATTCCTTGATCAAATATGTGTTATAAATTCTAAGAATAAAATTTAATTTCTTAGTCATTGTCCAATTTCTTGAGAATATTACATGATTCACATGAAAAACAAGATTTTGCGCGTTTTGGACTGAAACATGGTTTTTAGTCCTTAAAGCACCCATGGCTGCCAATAGGACTTTCAATATAGAGTTGAAAGGGATGAAGCATAGGTTTCTTTCTACATCAGCAAGTCGTGATGAGTGGTTGTTGCACTACCGTCCTCGACATCTCAATTTTCGAGACCTCAACGCATTACAAAGGAATGGTATGGTAACCGAGTTGCCAAAAATCAATATTCCAGCTGGGATATATGAAGAGTGTGTGAAATGGAATCAGCACAAGAGTATTTTAGGAAAGGATGTAGGTCATAGGACCAAACATCACCTTGAGGTGGTGTATTCTGATGTTTGCGGATCACTGCAAGTTGACTCGTATGGTGGCAATATGTACTTTGTAATTTTTATCGATGATTTTAGTAGGAAATTATGGGCATACCTAATAAAGATAAAGGATGAGGTATTTGATGTGTTTAATAATTTTAAGTCCATGGTTGAGTGACAAAGTGGTCACAAACTCAAAATTCTCAAAACACACGGTGAAGGTGAATATACCTTGAATGAGTTTGGGAAGTATTGTGATGTAGATGGGATGGTGCGTGAAGTTGTGACACCCTATACACCACAATAGAATGGCATCAATCATATCCTGAATTTTGTTCTTCAGAGCCCAGCAGCCATTTGTATCATGTCCAGGACTACTAGAATGATATGCACACCTTTCGTTGAGGTGGTAGCTAAGAGCAGAAGTGTTGGGATTTCGTAGAGGAGCCTTTAACGTAATCAATCCTGCCTTCAACAAGTGTTGTAACGCTTGAGTTAGTGACATGTTAATTTTGGTGAATTGTCTCTTAGGTGTGACCTCCTTATGCTGATTCCCTTGTTGATGTTGTTGTGCAGGCGTAGAATTAGAGACCAGTACTTCCCCCACAGATTGGTTGTGGTTTTCTCTATCACATCCCTCTTGGCCATATATACTATTGGCTTCCTTTTTGCCACCGAATGGCTTCTTCTCAGCATTAGAAGATGTAGCCATCAGAATTTTCCCACTCTTAATACTGACTTCCACTCTTTCACCTGTCAGTATCAGTTCGGTGAATCCAGCCAAAGAACTTTCAATTAAGTGGTTGAAAAATGGACCAGATAAAGTGCCCAATAATATGTCTACCAACTCTCTATCAGACAGAGGAGACTGGACTCTTCCTGCACGGTCTCTCCATTTTTGGGCGTAATCTTTGAATCCCTCGCTAGAACCCATAAACATGCTTTAAAGTTGAGTACGGGTTGGAGCGCGGTCGGTATTGTATTGGTACTGCTTGTAGAAGGCGACAGCCAAGTCTTCCCAGGTATGGATGTCGGTTCCTTCTAACTGATAGAACCACTCCAGTTGAGTGCCATCCAAACTTTCTTGGAAGAAATGGACCCATAACTTCCAGTCAGCAGTGTGAGGCTGGATTTTTCTGACGTATGATCTCAAGTGAAGTTTAGGACAAGAGATCCCGTCATATTTAGCGAACGTGGGGACCTTGAATTTTGGTGGTATAAATACTCCGGATACCAACCCTAACTCTTCAAAATCCAAATCGAGTATCTGCTGAATCTCGATAGCATTGAGGCGATCCTCCAACTGTTTGTATTTTCATTAGCGGGAGGATATTGTTCCTCAGAGTAGTCAGCTTCATCTTCATCAGTCCCCAGATTGTTATCTTCTTCATGATTATCCCACTCATTTGATGTATTTGTGAGATCTATAACTCGCTTGACCGGTCCTCTAAGTCTTCTTCCCATATTCAAGATGCCAGCCGATTTCTTTGCCTTCTTCTTCCTCCCTTTGATGACGAGAGATTTTAGATATTCTTGCCCCTGGGCCAGAGCCAGGAACATCTGCTGAAACTGAGCGTTTTGAGCTTGAAGATCCTTCACTGTTTGTTCAAGAGCCATTACTTTTGCTGAAATAAACAGTGAAAAGATAAGAAACCTGTCTTGAAATACCTGCTATGCAATGATATGTATGGTATGCTTATGCGATGCTTTCAAGGATCTCGCGGGGTAAACACAAGAAAATGTCAGAATTTGAATTTTGACTGCAACTTTGACGGAAGAACTTCGTATTTGTTGAACGTCCTTCCCTGATAAACGAGCTCACCATATCGAGTGGGTCATAGCCCCTGACTCAAGTTGTCGTGTTTTGGTCTTTTGAAGGCATTTAGTTATAGGAAAATAAATCCCCTTGCCCCTTGCTAGACGTCTGCTTTATCATAACCTGCATCACAGGCCCTTGAGATCCTTGAAATGGTTAAGGAAATTCTATGGTATGATGCTATGATATGTATGCTATGCGTCAAGCATAAATGTAAGGTGATTAAGACAAGTATGTCTTGCTAGAAAACATGTTTATTGGATAATGTATACAAACAAGGTCCTACAAGGAATACAAACAAAATCCCTGTAATGAGTTCAAGTTGTTAGATAATGAAGGCAAACAAGTCACACAAGCAGCCTTAAGTTCAGGCTTGCATGGGGTTTGTAGGTAAGTACCCTCTTGAAGTTTAGTTGGCTCAACCTGTCCTATTAATAGTAACCGGGTTCTAGGAAATCTCAATATCATCGATCTTTCTTCACCGGGCATTATTTCAGTGCAAGCCTCTTTATTAGCGACCGAAATATCCCGGAAGTCAGATCTCAATGAGTGTAGTATCGAGTATCAACCAACTTCGGGCTGCACCAAAGCCGGATATCTCACTACTTCCTAATGGCCAAGTTGGTTCAATTAAAGGTTCTAAGGTCAGTTGATGCTTCATGACACTACACAGCGACCCCATATTCTCTTTTACTACTAAAGGGATACCGGTACCAACAAATGTGTCACATCAACATAGCTATCGTTTCAACCGTGTCGGTATACTCTGCACAGTCCCCACGATCTATTATTACTTACCTAAAAGGTGTACCAGATTTGGGTGTAGGATCTTTACAAGTAAACCCAAGCAAAACCCTCAAAGATAAAGCAATCAAAGCATACAATGAAAGCAATTTAAAATGATGAACTAAACTC